TAAGCAAAGGCTGGAAGGAGTGTTCTTCCTGTCATCAGTACTATCTTATATCAGTCATGCCTATAGTAATTTTTTTTTTTTTTTTTTTCCATATAGTTGGAGGTGCCTTAGTTACTGTATTAGCTCACCTGTAATCTATGTATATGTATGTTTGTGTTCTGTCTGAACCTCTGGCGCGGCGTTCGCTCACCCGTAAGTTACTTTATGTTTTTTATGTATGTTTGTGTTCTGTCTGAACCTCTGGCGCGGTGTTGACTCACCCGTAAGTTGATTTATGTTTGTTTGTGTTCTGTTTATACTCTAATGCAGCGTGAGCTCAGTAACAAACTACTTACTCCAACTACAAAACCTACACTCACCTTAGACTCCTGTATTTTGTTAGATGCAGTGTTTTTCATAATGCACTTCCAAAATGTCATGCCTGGTTTTCTCAAAGTACTGTTGCGGGAAGTAACTCCTTTTAACTACTCCAGGTTAGGTCAGGATAATCAAGATCAATATTGCTACTGGTATCACGTAACCCAGTACCACCTGCCACAAGCCCTGCTGCCTTGCAGAGTGTGCTCTTCTTATGCAAAGGCTAAGAGAAATAAACTCCGACTAAAAATTCCCCTGCCTTGGGGCTCTTGGTTGAGTAAAAGCTAGAGATGGTGTCTCGATAAAAACACTCATCTTGGGCAGATGTTAACTGCATCCAGCTAAACATCCCCTGCCTTGGGGCTCTTGGTTGAGTAAAGGCTAGAGATGGTGTCTCGATAAAAACACTCATCTTGGGCAGATGTTAACTGCATCCAGCTAAACATCCCCTGCCTTGGGGCTCTTGGTTGAGTAAAGGCTAGAGATGGTGTCTCGATAAAAATACTCATCTTGGGCAGATGTTAACTGCATCCAGCTACTGTCTTGTAGAAGGCCTCCTAGGCAAAGACTTTAGGGGTAAGCAGAAAAATTCTGCTAACCAGCCTCGAACCCCTTCTTCATCTATTAGGCTGGCGTAGATGTAACCAGTGTTACATTGTTTCCTGGCTAGGATGATGAATGCTGGATCTCTTTGACTCTACTCATAGAATTTTGCTTATGCCTCCTTGATAATGGCTATGCAACTCTTCCTGTGATCTCCATATGAGGGTACAGCTCTAAACTAAGTTAAATGGTTCTGAGGCCGGCTGGTAGTAAGGTTTCCCGAACTCTGTGGTAGCTCTCAGAGAGGCTGATTCCATCAACAGCTGCAAAATATCAGAGTTGCCATGTTGCGCATGGATGGTGTCCTCGTCAATGCTTTTGGTGTGCATTGTCAAGGCTACACAAGGAGCCCTATGTCACGGCTTAGGGTTAATTAACAGGACTGAGACAACTGCATAGCTCATTGATTAGGAGGCTGTGCTCTATCTATGAATGAGTCTAGTTCTCATTAAACCCAAATCATGACCAAAGTAACCAAAAATTTAAAACCTAAAAAACCATCCCCACCACCTAAATATTTTAATATATCTTTTACAAATATTTAAGCAGCCGTGGCGCAGTGGTTAGAGTTCTGGCTCAGACCAGAACTCTAGACTCAACTCACTGGTCTGACCAGAACTCAGACCAATACAGACCAGAGGTCCGAGGTTCAACGCCAGCTCTAGCCCAACAAGCAACATTGGTACGGAAGGAGGCGTGAACTTCCTGTTAAATGCTCTCCCGCGGTGCTCTATGATAAGACCGTAAGGACTTTTGGGAGCACCTAAATACATACAAAAAAAAAAAAAAAAAAATATTTGCGGTCTACGAAGAAACTTTCCATCAGTTGAGTCTTACCTCCTGCAAAATTCACCAGACTTGCTTGCACTCAGTGAAATAAATTTAAGTTCTGCAATTCCTTCTTCAGATGTCAGTGTTGATGGGTACTATCCTTTGATTCGTAAAGACTCCAATAGTCACATGCTAGGTTTAGGGGTATACATACGCATTAATTCCCCTATTTGTCGTGAAATCAGGTTCGAATCCTTTGACCATTCTTTTATGTGCTTTCGCCTAGCACCTCTTCATTCTACCACCTTTCTCTTTGTTCTTTATCGTTCTCCTTCTTCCCATGATTGCACTCTTTTAGATGTTATCTCTGATCAAATTGACCATGCCCTCTCTCTTTACCCCTCTGCCAATATTGTTGTTGTTGGTGATTTTAATGTCCATCACACTGAATGGCTTGGCTCTAACACCACTGATCCTGCTGGCACTAAAGCTTTTAACTTCTGCGTTTCTCAATCTCTTACTTAGATAGTTAACTTTGTGACTCATTTTCCTGACAACCCTAATCATTTACCTTCACTCCTTGACTTATGTCTTGTCTCTGACCCTAGCTTTTGTTCAGTTTCTCCTTTTTCTCCCTTAGGTGGTTCTGACCATGCAATGATCTCTATAAATCTTTCTTCTCGTACTTCTTTTTTGGGCTCACCTTATCATCGCACCACCTACTACTACCCTAAAGCTGACTGGGATTCTTTTCGTGATTTTCTTCGTGATGGTCCTTGGGATGATGTTTTTTCTCTCTCAGCTGACAAATGCGCCTCCTACGTAACCTCCTGGATTCAGGCTGGAATGGAAGCTTTTATTCCTTCTCGTCGGTTTTAAGTCAAGCCTCATTCTACTCCATGGTTTTCTCCTTCTTGTGCGGCTGCTATATCCAATCGTAATCATTTTTTTCATCTTTTTCAAAAGAACAACTCTCTTGAGAACAAACGGCTATTTGTTATTGCAAGAAATCGATGTAAAAAGGTGCTTTCTGATGCTAAACTCCATTATTCTCAGTTCACTAAATCTCGCATCTTATCGCAGAAGTTAGGCTCTAAAGACTTTTGGAAAATCTTCAACAGCATTGTTAACAAGGGTAGATCTAACATTCCATCTCTCATTCATGGGACTGATCTTATTACCTCTCCCAAGGATAAGGCAGAACTATTTGCAAAGAACTTTTCTTCTAATTCCACTCTTGAATCTTATGGACATTCTCTTCCTTCCATTCCAGTCAAACAGGTTGACCCATTGTTAGACATTCAAATCACTCCGGCTTCTGTTGCTAAAGTCATATCTCAATTAAACTCGTCTACAGCTTGTGGTCCAGACAACATTCCTGACACAGTCTTGCAGAATTGTTCTCCAGAATTTTCTTCAATTCTCTCTAAACTATTTAACAAGTGTTTGACTGAGTCTTGTTTTCCTGCTTGTTGGAAAATGGCATCTGTGGTTCCAATATTCAAAAACTCTGGAGAAAATTCTGACCCCTCCAATTGTCGTCCGATCAGTCTTCTTTCTGTTATTAGCAAGGTCTTTGAGTCTTTGATCAACAAATTCCTCACATCTCATCTTGAGTCAAATAAACTGCTGTCAGACAATCAATACGGTTTTTGATCCTCTCGCTCTACGGCCGACTTGCTAACTGCTGTAACTGAAAGATTTTATCGTGCATTAGATGGAGGCGGTGAGGCTAGGGCTATTGCTCTCGACATATCTAAAGCTTTTGACAAAGTTTGGCATGCTGGTCTTCTCCATAAGCTTGCTTCATATGGTGTTTCTGGGAAAGTTTTTGAGATTATCAAATCATTTCTTTCTAACCGGTTTATTAAAGTCATCCTTGAAGGCCAACACTCTTCTTTATTTCCAGTAACTTCTGGGGTTCCCCAAGGTTCCATCCTGGGCCCTGTTTTGTTTCTTATCTACATAAACGATCTTCCTGACAACCTTTCATCTAAAGTAGCTCTTTTTGCTGATGACTCAACTTTATACTCCTGTCTTGACAAAAAGTCTTCTCTTTTCGATCGCCTAGAACAAGCAGCTGATCTTGAATCTGATCTCACTTCAGTAATAGATTGGGGTTCACAGTGGCTTGTGAATTTCAACTCTAAAAAAACCCAATTGCTTACTGCAAACAACAACCGCAATATGGTCAACATTCCTATATTAATGAATGGCAATCCTCTTACTGAGTCCTCCTCTTTACGTCTTCTTGGATTATCGCTTACTACTGACCTTTCATGGAAACCATATAAACAATCGATTGCTAAATTAGCTTCTGCTAAGGTTGCTTCTCTTTATCTTGCTCGCCATTTCCTTACTTCTGATTCCATTCTCTACCTCTACAAATCTCTTATTCGTCCCTGTATGGAATACTGTTGTCATATTTGGGCTGGTTCTTCTAACGATTCACTTTCTCTTCTTGACAAGGTCCAAAAACGCATTGTAAATGTTGTTAGACCTGGACTATCTGCTAAGCTTGAACCTCTTTCCCATCGTCGTAAAGTTGCATCTCTTTCTCTTTTCTACAGATACTATCATGGTCACTGCTCAAAGGAGTTATCATCTCTAGTTCCATCAACTAAAATTCATTCTCGTTTTACTCGTCATTCAGCTAAGTCTCATTCTTTTACTGTATCTGTCCCTGCATGCTCAAAAAACTTTTATTCATCTAGTTTTTTTCCCCGCACTTCAATCCTTTGGAACTCTCTCCCATCTTCATGTTTTAATGACTCATACAACCTTCAACTTTTCAAGTCTTCTGTCAACCGTTTCCTTGCTCTATAACTCTGTTCCCTTTTTTTTTCCTAGTAACTCCCAACTTAATAGTGGTTACTTGCAGCCTTGTTGGGGGTGAATGCAAATAAAAATATATATATATATATATTAATATATTATTAACTATTTTAATATATATATATATATATATATATATATATATATATATATATATATATATATATATATAACTATTTTAATTATTATATATATATATATATATATATATATATATATATATATACATATATATATATATATAACTATTTTAATTATTATATATATATATATATATATATATATATATATATATAAATTTTATATAATTATATAAAAATAATTATTATATCTATTATGTTTGTCAGTTATGTTTTTTTTTTACTTTTTGTTAAAATAGACATAAGTTAAAAACAAAAAACAATTATTGAATTCATAAAATATATTTTTTGTTAATAATTTACAAGTTAATAAATTTACATAAAAATATATAAAAAATAAATGCATTAAATTTATAATTAATAACATAAATACTTGTAAAGCTTATAATAATGTCAAATATACAATTAATATAAAATATAACATATAAAACAGATCATGCAAGATTTTGAGAACATTATACTTTGTCAGATTCATCAAAAATAAAGCGTTCAAATCGTGGTAATGATAATCCAGATAAAGGTTTCAATGTCAATAATTGGGCAGTATAGCTACGATTTTTTGATGAACTGGTTTTTTGGATGGACTTTTTTTCTGCTCTTTCTTTTCTACTTCTATTTCTGTCTTGAGCTCCAGAAAAAAAAAGCCACAACTGCCTTTTAAATTTCGCTGTATGTGGTATCTTTTGTCAGCAAATTTCTTCGTATTGCTTCTATAAACATAAACGCAGTCATATATCAAGTGTTTTTATAAACAAAATTATAAGAGTATAGCTAAATATACATACTGTTGTATGTATCTGTATATGTCTATATCTGTATCTCTCTCTCTTTGTTTTTATATATATACATATACATACACTTTTGTCAGGAAAGGAACCTATCTTTCCTTCCCTGACAAAAGTTTTTAATGCCTATAACTAAAAATTTAGAATTCTACTAACTATGTATTTTCTCAAAATAAAATAGATATTTATAGTTAGTTTGTTAGGTATTTTACCCCTTTCTAAATCTTTTTAATTTTTTTTAAATTTCCAATTTAGTTTATAAAGGCAAATCTTTTTGAAAAACACGACTTTTTTTTATCTCATATCGAGCAGGTTTTGATTTGAAAATCGAATCAAGAATCAAAACAGCAATTTAAGGTATATGAGTTAAAATATTTCTTTATATTATATATTTCAAAAGAAAAAAAAATAATAGTAAAAACTCTTTTTTGGAGCTTCATGTAGTAGTTAACCTTTTAAACAATTGGTAACAATTTTAAATAATTGGTAACAATTTTTAACAATTTTTAACAATTGTTAACAATTTTTAACAATTGTTAACAATTTTTAACAATTGTTAACAATTTTTAACAATTGTTAACAATTTTTAACAATTGTTAACAATTGTTAACAATTTTTAAAAATTGTTAACAATTTTTAACAATTGGTAACAATTTTTCACAATTGGTAACAATTTTTCACAATTGGTAACAATTTTTAACAATTGGTAAGAATAAAGAAAGTATTTTTTGAAAGTGCAAAAGTGCCCAATTATTCAAAAATACTACAACAAAAAGAAAATAAGTAAATATTTAATAACTCAAATCTTTTTTTTTTTGAAACTCAAATCACTTTTCTGATTCAATTTGAAATTTTGAAGATTCACAAGGCCCTAATGTGGGTATGTATGTATGTATGTGTATGTATGTTTGTATGTATGTATGTATGTATGTATGTATGTATGTATGTATGTATGTATGTATGTATGTATGTATGTATGTATGTATGTATGTATGTATGTATGTGTGTATGTATGTATGTATGTATGTATGTCTGTGTGTATGTATATATGTATGTATGTATATACATACATACATACATATATACATACACACAGTATGTATGTATGTATGTACGTACGTATGTATGTATGTATGTATGTATGTATGTATGTATGTATGTATGTATGTATGTATGTATATATAAATAATTTACGACATCAAATAGTACTATATGGAACATAAAAAGCCATATTACTTGTAATAGTAAGAATGTAATATATTATTTAAAATATTTGTCATGTAACAAGAAAGCTACATACACCGGAAAAACAAATAACCTACGACTTCGCACTAATGGGCACATTTCTAGTTGTAGAACTGGGCAATCAACAGATAGGTTTGATAACCATATATACAATTGTCAATGTGCGCATAACTCCATTATAGAACCTTTTTTCCAGCTTTTTGTGTTTGTGGAGCTAAAAAATGAAAAAAACCTAATTTCTTATGAGAAACATTTTCACAACCAAAAACATGATACTTTTAATTGACATTATAATATAGATTACAATAGTTGCTAACAGCAACATTAAATAATTATCATTTCCTGTTTTTTAAAAAAAACTATATTTTGTTGTTATAATAACAAAAACAGCACTACTGATGATTTTTTGAAAGGCCTCTAGTGCTAAAATTTATAATTAGAGTAATTTTCGTAAAATCAAAAGAAGAAAATATTTCATTTATTGTTTATTTTGTTGACTAATTTTTTTACTTATATATATATATATATATATATATATATATATATATAAACACACACACACATAGAAACACACATATATATTAATTTAATAAATGACAAAAGTGATGAAAACAATGAAAGAAATGAATAAAGTGATGAAAAAATGAATAAAGTGATGAAAACAATGAAAGACAATTTTAAATATTTATATTTATTTATTATTATATTTATTAACTTACTTTCAATAACTTTTTATGAAGATCACCTTGCCCTGTCCAATTCAATTATTTTGCTACTTCCCTTTTTGCTGCTACTCCCTTCACCTTAAAAAAAATTGTTACCATTTGTAAAACAATTTAGTTTATTTTTTTAATTAACATTAGTTATAATTCATAAAAAGTTTTGCAATAGGCTACAAATAAGTAGTCAAAATACCTTGATCACAGAGGTAAATATGATCACTTTTTTAAATCTTGTTCTACTTTGATTCAATACAGAGACAGGTGTCTGCAGACAGAGACAGGTGTCTGCAGACAGAGACAGGTGTCTGCAGACTTTTTGAATTCTTGATGCTCATTAAAATCTTGAGAGTCACTATCATAATTTTCATCAGGTTACTTCTGTACTCTAAACACATAAGTCTAATGTTAAAATATAGTTTATAGAAATTTTTATGGTATATTATAAACACCTTAAAGTATACATTAAAAATTATACATGAAATACAAAATAATACCTTAAGATATTAGTTCAGTAAAAATAATTTTAAGGCTAAACATTAACAGAGTTAATAAGTGTATACGTTAGTCAACAAATAATAATTAAAACTTAGCGAAGTACTTGTTTTACTCAACGCCAAATTAAAAATAAAGAAATTATAAAGAAATATAATTAAGGTTGAATAAATATATTGAATAAAGGAAAATAAAGGTGGGGGATGATGATAATGATGATGAGATCATATAAAATAAAGCATAAAAAATACATATGAGTGGGTCAGAAGCCAAAGGGTACAAGTGACAATTTTACCAAAATTAAGTTAAGTATAGAATTTGATAGAAGCAAACAAAATTGTTGGTGGCCAAGGGATACAAGTGAATCTCTGCCCTGTGCTGCTTTCTACTGGAAAAACATAACAACAGCTGAGTATATTTAACAAAAATACTTTAACTTTAAACAGCTGTATCTCAAAACTATGAAAATGTCACTTGTACCCCTTGGCTTCTGACCCACTCATATATATAATGAATTTTATTTAAATACATAAAAAACACAAATTTAAATTAAATTTTAGGATGCATTACCATTTAAGCAGCTCTGGTCATAGATCAGCAAATTAAATCAGTGAATTCTTGTGTGATATTATGCTGAGAAGATTAAAATGCTAAATCACCCTCTAGTTCATATATGACAATATTTTTATCATTTTTATCTGAATTGTTATCAGATAAAGCTTTAAATTCACTAATTTCATTATCAATTGATAAGAAATATTGAGGATATTATCCAGAGCAGTGGTGTTGGAAGGTTCATTATCTGAAGTGTTCAACCCATGTTTTTTGCAATTGCTTTGAACGACTGTTTTGGGCAACGCGTCAGTAGGCTGAGGAAAATCAAACCCAGTTTTACCTATGTAATCATAGTTATAGGCTCCATCAATAACCATTTTCTCTTGATTGATTTTGGACAAATAAATTAATAAATAAAAGTTAAAATAAAATAATTTTAACTTCTTTAATTTTTTTTCTTTCAGACCAATAGCTTATAACTAAAACCAAGATTACTAAATATACAGGATGTGATATAATGAAAATTATATACTTGAATGAAAACATAAATATATTTTTCTCTCCGTAAAATTTTCATCTATTTTGCGCCATGCATTTTTGTACTTTTGGCGAGCCATTAATGATACACTTATGGTCCGGTAATGGCAAGCCAGTTCTGGTTCGCCAGCTAAGGCCCTTAACTGGATCATGTGTTTTGCCGGACCTGGCTTGCCAGCTCTGGCCCATTAATGTACTGCTGATTGGGTGTGTAGCTATCACTCATAGATACAAGTGTGGAATTATTTTGCACAATTTTGTGCAAATAACTCCTCACTTCTGTGGAGAAGTCGAGTTAGAAAAAGTTAATTTCCAAAAAGTTAACTTGTGTCTAGGAGTGATTGCTTCACACCGCACAGTGAAAAATAAAGGTCCGTTTTAGATCAAAAATCAATAATTTTTTTGTTACTAAAGATAAAGTGTTGAAATTTTGCACAAATGTAGAGTAGTATATAGGGCTTCTAAGGAAATATTTTTTATAAAAAAAAAAATTAATATTAAACTCGTAAATAAAAATCACAATTTCATTTTTTTTTTTTTACAAAAATCAATTTTTTTTACAAAAATCAAAAATCCCTAACTTTTTTTGTTACTAATGATAAAGTGATGAAATTTTGCACAAATGTAAATAATTATATAAGGCTTCTAAGGAAATATTAAAAAAAAAAAAAAATTAATATAAAACTTATAAATAAAAATCTTTTTTTTCATTTTTTTTTTACTTTTAACTAAACATGTTCTTTTAATTTTATTTAATTTTATTTAAAATTTTAATTTTTTTTTTTATAATTTTAATCTTTTAATTTTATTTAAATTTTTAAAAGTATTAGAAACGACAAAAAATGCTTATTTATTTAGAAAATATATTAGTATTAAATTTATATAATAAAAAAACATTTATACGAGCTTTTCGCTTATCTCTAGTTAATTACCTCTAGTTACTTTTTAATCTTTTAAACAAAAATTTTCCTTATATTAGGTTTAATTGCTTTACTAATTTGGTTTTTTAATATTTGCGTGTAATTAGTTAATTTGCATATATTTAAACATTTACAGGATTACATGACATGTATTTTCAAGAGTTTATAAAATGCTTATTATAGCAATATTCAGATTAGTTTATTAACAACAACTTTTATACAGTGAGTTTTTATGGAATAAATTATAAGTCAACTTTCAAAAGATACAAAAAGGTCGAAATTTCAAAAGTTCGTATCAATATCGACAGTCCATATTGATACGAACTTTCATTTTCAGGCCTAGCAGACACTTTAGCCAAATAATTCATTTGCCGTGGAGTAGCTCCACATATGTATTTTCATGAGACAAATCAATGAAAATTCCATATGCCAATTTAAAAATTTATTAAATAATTACGTCAATTGGAATCTTGTACTGCAATCATACGATGAAAATAATGCTAATGATTTATTTCTAAACCAATTTTCTAAAATGTATGATAAGGCATTTCCTTTAAAAGTGAAAGTAATAAACTATAAGTCGGTTGTATCCCCATGGATAACCAAAGGCCTACTGAAATCATCAAGAAAAAAACGAAAACTGTATGATTAATATTTAATAAATAAAACTTATAAAAATGAAACTAATTACAAAAATTATAAAAATTTATTTAAAAAAACTAAAAAACGATCAAAAGTAAATTACTATGCTAAACTGCTTGAAAAAAACAAAGGAAACCCTCAAAAAACGTGGAGTGTTATTAGAGACTTAATTGGGAAAAATAAAATTGAAAAAAACAACTTACCGCAAAAACTTATTATTGAGGGAAAAATGATTTATCATAAAGAAGTTATTATTGAGAAATTAAACAATTTTTTTCTTGACCTAGCAGTGAAAATTCCAGTTGGTCAAAAAAAAATATGATTCATATCTTGCAACAACTGATTTCATTATGAAAGAACCGATTTTAACCAAAAGTGAACTACACACTCCTTTTACTAGTCTGAAAAAAAAAAAAAAAGGTATAAATCAAATTAATGTTAATGTAATTAAATCTGTTTTTGATATTATCGAACCCTCATTATTCCATATTTTTAATCTCTCCCTTAAATCAGGTCATACTCCAGATAAACTAAAAATTGCATAAATAACACCTATTTTAAAATCTGGCGATGAGAACAATATTTCAAACTACATACCAATCTCAGTCTTACCCTGCTTTTCTAAACTAATCGAACGCATTATGTACAACAGACAACAGCTTTTATATAATAATCAATACGGTTTTAAAAAAAAAATCATTCTACTGACCATGCAATAATTGAATTGGTTAAGCATATATCGAATGGATTTAATAGTGATTGCTATTCAATAGGGGTTTTTATTGATTTATCCAAAGCTTTCAACACAGTAAATCATGAAATTCTTTTAAAAAAATTAGAAAACTATGGTGTTAAAAATCAAAGTTTACTTTGGTTTAAATCATACTTAACTAACAGAAAGCAATTTATACTTAAAGAATCAAAAGACTCAAAAAACAACTTAACAACTGGTGGAGTACCCCAAGATTCTATTTTGGGACTATTATTGTTCTTACTTTATATAAATGACTTATATTTATCATCAAAAGTATTAAATACTATCTTGTTTGCAGATGACACTAATTTGTTTTATTCTCACAAAGATATTACTGTTTTTTTTTTGTTTTTTTTAAATTTTATTTTATTTTGCTGTTTATATAAATTACAATTTTCTTTCACCAAAAATAAAACATAATTACAAATGTACAAATAATAAATAGACAGGGGCTCAAAGAAGTTATGGATGGCAAAATACCAACCTAATCTTTTCATAGAGCCCCTACACATCATAACAATAATATATGGCAATATATGGTTAATAAATCAAGTAGAAAAAAAGGAAAAAAAAGAAATAGTAAAAAAGAAGATATAATATTTAAAAATAAAAAAAGAGAAAAAAGAAGATGTATCAATATATACTTTAAAATACATACATTAAAAAACATATATTCACACATATACATATACATATACACATATACATATACATATATATATATATATATATATATATATATATATATATATATATATATATATATATATATACACACACATATATATATACATATATACACACATATACACCATATATATATATATATATATATATATATATATATATATATATATATATATATATATATATATATATATATATATATATATATATACACACATATACACCATATATATATATATATATATATATATATATATATATATATATATATATATATATATATATATATATATATATATATATATATATATATATATATATATATATATATATATATATATATATATATATATATATTATGATACAAATAGTGAAAAAGATATAATATTAATAAATACTAATAGTCACAAAAAGTTATAAAAGAAGATATTTAAGTACAAATTTCTAATTAAATTTCTAATTAAAAAATTCTAATTAAAATTCAACATATAATATATAAAGATTACATATAATATTTAAAAATAAAAATAGTTAAATAAACAAATATAATGCTAAAAAAAATTTTTGTAAGCAAAAATACAAATTAATCCGAAAGAACGTAAGTTTTTGTTTGACACTGAAATGAATTTAAAGATTTGGCCATATTTAAATTGTCTTTCAGAAAAGAGTTTCATAGCTTGGGACCTCTATAAGTTATACTATATTCTGTTTATAGTTTATAATAAGTTTTGGCAGTTTTAGAAGAAGGTTTTTTTCTTGTGTTTTTTTTATGAAACAAGGTATATTGTGTTTTTTCAACGTTAAAGAAAGTTTATTTGACCTGAACTAATCATTTACTTTTTCTAATTCAATATTTATGTCAGCATAAAGTTGATTAATATTGCAGTTAGATAAAAATAGATTTGTATCGTCTGCAGATAGCATTTCGTTTTAATGATGCATTATTAAAATCATTAACATAAATTAAAAATAAGAGCGGTCCGAGGATTGATCCTTGAGGCACTCCACACAGAATATTTAGTATTCCAGATTTCTTGTTTTGACCGTATTGTTTTCTATTAGATAGATAACTTTTTATCCAATGATATAATTTATTGCATACCCCGTACCATTTTAGTTTTCTAACAGAATAGAGTGATCAACGGTGTCGAATGCCTGTTCTTTTTAAAATATTTAACAAAGAATTAGATAAGATCAACGAGTGGTTTATAAGTAAAAAAAACTTGGACTATAATAAAAGATATAACTGGGAAAACAAAAATTACATCTAGAAACCTCCCTAATCGACTAAAAACCGAAAAAGGTGAAATTTTTAATAAAAAAATAATTGCTGAGATACTGAATAATTTTTTATAAATGTCGGGAAAAATTTAGCCAAAGAAATCTCTCCAAGTTTTTTGAAAAAATCAGATTTTATTATGGACAATTCGGAACTTTCCATTGATGAACTTCGTTCAGCTTTTGACATGCTTCAGACAAATAAAAGTGCAGGTTTTGATGAAATTAATGCAAATGTTTTAAAAAGTGTCTTTGACATTATCGAATTGCCTCTTTTCTTTATTTTTAAACTTTCATTAAAAAACGGGGACTTTCCGGATCAATTAAAACTTGCTAAAATAATTCCAATTTATAAAAACAGCGACGTTTCTTTATAATCAAACTACAGACCCATCTCAATTCTCTCCTGTTTTTCAAAGGTTCTCGAACGTATTATGTATAATAGAATATATAACTTCATTGATAAAAACAATATTTTATATCCTAAACAGTTTGGATTTAGGAGAAATCATTGCACTGAGCATGCTGTGAAGGATTTGGCTAGCAATATTTTGAAAGGATTAGATGGCAATAATTATACACTTGGAGTTTTTGTTGATTTATCGAAGGCATTCGACACTGTCGACCATGAAATCCTTCTCTATAAATTAAAAAATTATGAAATTCAAAATACTAATCTAAAATGGATCGAGTCTTATCTACAAAATCGTAAACAATGTGTGATGTATGATTTAACTTGTACGCAGTTAGAAGTTATTAGTTGCGGTGTCCCTCAGGGCTCAATACTTGGTCCTCTGGTGTTTCTCTTATATATCAATGACATCTACTTATCTTCTAAATTCCTTAATTATTTTTTTTTCTGATGATAATAATTTTTTTTTTTCGGGGTCTAATTTAAAATTTGTTTTTTCTACTGTAAACACAGAGCTAATTAATCTCAATGAATGGTTTAAAGCCAATAAACTGTCCATAAACATTGATAAAACTAAATACATTCTGTTCACGAAACCTTCGAAAACTGATAACACACCCCTAAAACTTCCTGATTTATTTATAAACAACATTAAAGTAAAAAGAGAAAGAAATGAAAGCTCTAGGTATAATATTTGACGATCATTTAAACTGGAAAAATCAAATCCAATTAGTGGAAAACAGCATTTCAAAAGCTCTTGGGATCCTTCTCAAAACGAAGCTCCTTTTGAATATAATGTGCTTAAAAAGCTTGTATTTTTTATTTACTCATAATCACATTAGTTATTGCAATATAGTGTGGGCAAGTAATTATTCATCTTCTTTAAAAAAAAATATTACCAAACAAAAGCAAGCGACCGGTTAATTTTGAATGCAGGTAGATATGCATTCGCCGAGCCTTTACTTTTTTTTTT